TAATAACGGTGCAAATCTTACAATGGAGGCAGAGGGTAAGAGGAAGCTAGGAGCTGCGAACTCTAAATCTGTGGATAAACAGCAGAATCAGTTTCAATGGCAGGTAGTTGCTAAACGAAATAAGGGTTCTGTGAGTGGTGAGAATGGCACTTTGGCATCTAAAGTGCGTAACTGTAATGAGAATGGTTGTTCGACATCTGGTACAAATATTTCTGATTGTAATATCAATGAGAAGGCTGCATCAGATGTGAGCAATGCTGATTGTTATGAAGATGAAAATCCTACATCTCCTCTTGTTTTGAAGAGTTCACAAGGAGACATGAAGCAGGAGCAGGGGGGTACAAGTACTGCTTCAGATCAAAGTTTAGCCATCTCCAATACATCTGATTGTGCGACGGTGAACCAGGTTCTTTTCGTTAATAGTCATGAGCTGAATGTAGATATTGACGCAATGGGAGGTGATACAGATGGGGAACGAACTGATAAGGAGTTGACGTCACCAATCCTGACAAGCCCACAAACTCTGAATTCCACCGAAAGGGAAACTGTTAATCAGTTGGCTATTAAGGCTAGAGACTCTCTAGAGAAAAAGAAAAAGGGTTCGAAAAACTCTTCAAAGAAGAATAAGAAATCTGTCTCCTCGCCTGGGGGCACGTCGAGGTAATCTTTGTGTTGCTGTTTGTACTCCTCTCTATTTTCTTATGATTATTGGATGTTGGAATGTAAGAGGTTTGAATGATCCCATAAAGCATTCAGCATTGCGTCAGCTCATCCATCAAGAGAGGATGACTCTTTTCGGTTTGGTTGAAACTCGGGTTAGAGACGAGAATAAATATAATGTTTCTCAACTTCTTCTGCGTAATTGGTCCTTCTTGTATAATTATGATTTCTCTTGTCGTGGTCGTATTTGGGTTTGTTGGAATGCTGATGTGGTGAAGGTTGATGTCCTCGGAATGTCAGACCAGGCTATTCATGTTTCTGTCACTATATTAGCTACCAATATCTGTTTCAATGCTTCAATTATATACGGAGACAATAACGCTTCCTTACGTGAGGCATTATGGTCTGATATAGTGAGTCGTAGTGATGGATGGGAGTCCAGCCCATGGATTCTTATGGGCGACTTTAATGCTATCCGCTACCAATCAGACAGGTTAGGAGGGTCTACTTCGTGGGCTGGTCATATGGACAGATTGGAAACATGTATTCAAGAAGCGAAAGTGGATGATCTTCGATATTCAGGCCTGCATTATACTTGGTCGAACCAATGTCCTGAGAATCTGATTATGCGGAAACTAGATAGAGTGCTTGTCAATGAGAAATGGAATCTGAACTTCCCCTTTTCAGAAGCGAGATTTTTGCCATCGGGTATGTCAGACCATTCTCCTATGGTGGTAAAGGTTACTGGTGATTATCAGAATATAAAGAAACCATTCAGATTCTTTGATATGTGGATGGACCATGACGAGTTCATGCCCTTGGTGAGGAAAGTATGGGAACACAATTCAGGGGGTTGTCCAATGTATCAGCTGTGTTGCAAGCTAAGAAAACTAAAACGGGAATTGAAACTTTTCAATATGACTCACTTCTCCAACATTTCAGATAGAGTCAAAGATGCGAAAGATGAAATGGATAAGGCTCAACAGGCTCTCCATACAGCACATGGGAATCCAACTTTGTGCATGCGAGAAAGGGATGCTGTACGTAACTACGCTTCTATCGTCAAGGCCGAAGAGAGTTTTTTCAAACAAAAGTCAAGGATACAGTGGCTTAGCTTGGGGGATCAGAATACTGGCTACTTTCACAAATCAGTAAATGGAAGACAGCATAGAAATAAACTTCTTTCACTTACAAAGGAGGATGGAGAGGTTGTCGAAGGACATGAGGCAGTTAAATCAGAAGTCATTGCGTACTTCCAGCGTGTGTTAAGAGTGGAACAGATGCCTAGGGTTCTGAATGAGGAAGAGATGGAATCGGCAATTAACTTGAAACTGTCTTCAACGCAACAACATGTATTAGCACAAGATGTAACAAGGGAGGAGATTAAGCATGCTATGTTTAGTTTGAAGAACAACAAAGCCCCTGGTCCGGATGGATTTAACGCAGGTTTCTTCAAAAGAATGTGGCACATAGTTGGGGAGGATGTAATCAATGCTGTTAGCTCCTTCTTTCAGACTCGGAGAATGCTTAAAGAAATGAATGCTACATCAATTTCCCTTATTCCTAAAGTTGCCAATCCTACGAGGTTGACAGATTTTCGTCCTATATCTTGCTGCAATACCGTGTACAAATGCATCGCTAAGATTCTAGCTGGGAGAATCACAGCTGTTTTGCCATCCTTAGTAGGTCCGTATCAGACTGCTTTTATCTCTGGACGGAGAATCAGCGACAACATTCTTTTGTCTCAGGAACTAATGAAAGGCTATCATAAATCTACGGGACCTGCCCGTTGTGCTATGAAAGTAGATCTGATGAAGGCTTATGACTCGGTTCGGTGGGATTTCGTTGACGCTATGTTAAGAAAAATGGGATTCCCTAGAACAGTCATTGATTGGATTATGGTTTGTGTTACATCATGTCAATTCTCTATCAACGTCAATGGTGAGCTTGCAGGTTATTTTCAAGGGGGGAGAGGGCTTCGACAAGGGGATCCACTTTCTCCATATTTGTTTGTCCTATGTATGGAAATCCTTTCGGGGCTATTCTGCAAGATGAGTGCCAACCAAAACTTCAAGTTCCACTGGAGATGCAAGAAGGACAACATTTCTCATCTTTGTTTTGCTGACGACTTGATGATTTTTAGCAAAGGAGATGTAAACTCAATTCGTATGATCAAAACTGTGCTCACAAAGTTTCAAGATCTATCAGGTCTGTATCCAAATCCAAATAAAAGTGACATCTTCTTAAGCGGTGTGTTAAATGCTGAGAGGGAAGAGATTATTCATGTTCTTGGGTTTGCAGAGGGGGAGCTCCCTATGAAATATTTGGGAGTGCCTCTTATCTCGTCCAGACTAAAGGCTGTTTATTGTAAGGGTCTCGTGGATCGAATCACCTCTAAAGTTCGACATTGGACTTGTAGAACACTCTCGTATGCAGGACGAGTACAACTGATTAATTCAGTTTTATTTTCCATCCAAGTCTATTGGGCATCTCTCTTCCTCTTACCTGGGCAAGTCATAAAAAGTGTGGAGCAAATTATGAGATCCTTTCTTTGGTCAGGTTCAGATATGAGAACTACTGGGGCTAAAGTGGCTTGGGATCAGGTATGTCTTCCAAAAAAGGAGGGGGGGCTAGGAATAAAGAGGATAACAGAATGGAACAAGATTGCTTTGTTGAAACACATTTGGAACCTGTGCAATGACTCAGATGGCTCAATCTGGTCTACTTGGATCAGATGTAATCTGTTGCGAGGTAGGAATTTCTGGACAATCAAGACGCCACAGAATTGCTCTTGGGCATGGAGAAAGATTCTAAAGCTCAGATCCTTAGCATGGCCGAAGATGAAGTACATCATAGGGGATGGCAGGACAACTTCTCTATGGTTTGACAATTGGCATCCTCACAGCCCGCTCGCAGATTCTTACGGCGACAGATTCATCTATGATTCAGGTATGGAAAAGAACGCGAAGGTGAATATGCTGATTCATAACTCAGAATGGAAAATTCCTACCACTCACGCTATTGGATGGCACCCCATTGTAGAAGCTATTCCTTCCAATTCTAATCCTATGATAGGGCAAAATGATGAGATTGTTTGGCTGGATTCACCAAATCACAGATTCTCGATCAAAATAGCTTGGGAACAACTAAGATTTCATCATACGATGGTCGAATGGCATGACATTGTGTGGTTCAAGAATGCTGTTCCAAGACATTCGTTTCTTCTATGGGTGGCTGTCCAACAGAAACTCACAACTCAAGATAGACTTCATCGATTTGGTATACATGGTCCCAATAGATGCTCACTCTGTCTCCGCAACTACGAAGATCACAACCACTTGTTCTTTGAATGCTCCTATACTAAAGCGATCTGGTGGGATGTTTGTGACAGATGCAACATTCCAAGAATGACAAAAGGATGGGATGAATGGATTCGATGGGCCACTGTCACTTGGCATGGCAAAAGTTTTGTCAATTTTTCTCGTAAACTCAGTTTTGCAGCTACAGTGTATCATATCTGGCAAGAAAGGAATGCAAGGACCTTTGCTGGAATATCTAGAACTCAGAATTTGGTCTTTCATCAAATTGAATGTATCATCCGTGATAAGCTTGATTTGATGAGGAACGTTCTACCAACAGATGAAAATAAAAGAATCCAACGAGCATGGAGGGTTAATAACATAGATTCTTCATTTGATATTTAGCTGGTTGTATTGGTTTCCCTAACGAATCAAGTTAGGTCTTGAGTTTTCAGTTCGGTGGCTAGCATGTAGCCATCTGTTGTTTTACGTTTCTGTTCTCATTGTAAATCTGGGGTATGCCCCTTATAATCTTTGTATCGTTTTCCTTTAATAAATACGTCAACTTACCAAAAAAAAAAAAAGCAAGCTGAATCGAAGACATGCTAAATGGGTGGAGTTTATGGAGTCATTTCCTTATGTCATAAAGTACAAGAAAGGGCAAGTTAATGTGGTTGCTGATGCTCTTTCTAGGAGGTATGCACTGATCTCTATGTTGAATGCAAGGCTGATGGGTTTTGAACAAGTGAAGGATCAATACGCTAATGATTCCTACTTTGCTAATGTGGTTACCGAATGTGCAAAGGGAGCTTGTGATGGAAGAAGAGAAGGAAGTAAAATATTACAGAACTGATTCAAGGCTTATTTATAGCCTTCTATGCAGCCCCTTAATCCTAGAAGCAAAAGGAAAAGGTAGCCACCCATATTGTTTCCACGTTGTAGTAAGATTCTTTTGTTTCCCTTATTGGTCTCACCTCATAGCCCAAATAAGATTATATTGGACCCCTCTTATACATGGATAAGATGTACTAGGGTCTCCTTTTAATACTCTAATGGACCTTGCAATTCTGACTTGGTTGAAACATTTAAAACCAATGCATTTAATGTCTCTTTCAATCCCTTTGTCTTGGACCGAGTCATTGGACCATTTGGAACATGTAATGGGTCCTTGCTGGCATTTCTGGGTTGGCCCGCATCATCCCCTCTCTCCTCGAAAGGATTCGACCTTGAATCAAAATCTGTGTCAAAAAACATAAGATCAGAAACATTAAAGGCAGCACTAACAACATATTCACCTAGAAGGTCAATTTTGTATATGTTGCCATTGATTCTCTCTAAAACCTGAAATGGACCATCACTACGAGGCTGTACTTTTGATTTCCTTTGGTTAGGAAATCATTGCTTACGCATGTGCACCTAAACCCAATCATTGGGTTGGAAAACAACCAGTTTACGTCCCTTATTTGCTTTACAAGCGTAAAGTCTGTTCTTTTTCTCTATTTACAGTCGAACTCCTTAATGGAGTTGTCTCACCATCTTTGCCTTCTTTTCACCATTTAAACTTACCCTTTCTTCAAAAGGCAAAGGAATTAAGTCCATAGGAGTTAGTGGATTAAAACCATAAACAATTTCAAAAGGAGAAAAACCAGTGGTCGAGTGCACAGTTCTATTATAAGCAAACTCAACAAAAGGCAAACATTCTTCCCAACTTTTTAAATTCTTTTGAATTATACGCAAAAGTTGGGATAATATTCTATTCATTACCTCAGTTTGTCCATCTGTTTGAGGATGATATGTTGTCGAAAATAAAGTTTAGATCCCAACTTTCCCCATAAGCTCTTCCAAAAGTAGTTAAGGAACTTAACATTGCAATCTGACACTATACTCTTAGGAATACCATACAAATGTACAATCTCCCTAAAGCACAAGTCTACAATATGAGATGCATCATTCATTTTATTGCATGCAATGAAATGAGATATTTTAGAAAACCTATCAACCACAACAAAAATAAAGTCTCTACCTTTCTTTGACCTAGGTAAACCTAAAACAAAGTCCATAGAGATATCTACCCAAGGTTCAGTAAGCACAAGTAATGGTGTATATAGTCCATGCGGTTGTACTCTAGATTTTGCCTTTCTACAAGCAATGCACTATTCACAAATTCATTGCACATCTCTTTTCATCTTTGGCCAATAGAAATGCTCATGCAATACATCCAAGGTTTTCACATATTCACGCAAAGAACTAGTAGGAACACAATCTATTCTCTTTGAACAAATAACCATCCATCAAATAAAACTTACCAAAAGTCGAATGTCCACATGCATTATAAATCTCGGCAAAGTCAGAATCATTATCATATAATTCCTTCACATATTCAAAGCCTAACAATCTAGTATTCATGGTGTGTAAAAGAACATACCTGCATGAAAGTGTATCAGCTACGATGTTCTCTTTGCCTTGCTTATACCTGATTACGTATGCAAAAGTTTCAATGAATTCAAACCATTTTACATGCCTCCTATTCAACTTACCTTGTCCTTTCAGATGTTTCAATGACTCATGATCCGAATGGATTACAAACTCTATTGGCCACAAGTAATGCTGCCATGTCTCAAGTGCTCTTACCAATGCATAGAGTTCTTTGTCATAAGTAGGATAATTCAAGGTCGCTCCACTGAACTTCTCACTAAAATACACAATTGGTCTCCGATCCTGCATCAAAACAGCACCTATTCCCATTCCAGAGGCATCACATTCTATTTCAAATGCTTTCATAAAGTTAGGTAAAGCCAAAATAGGTGTAGAACATAATTTCTCTTTCAAAAGAACAAAAGTCAATTCTTGTTCCTCCCCTCATTTAAACCCAACTGACTTTTTAACCACTTCATTCAAAGGTGCAGCTATTGTACTAAAATATTTCACAAAACACCTATAAAAACTAGCTAACCCATGAAAACTCCTTACCTCACTTACCGATTTAGGTGTAAGCCAATCTCGGATGGCCCTAACTTTCTCCTCATCCGTCTCGATACCCTGTGCAGTTACGACATAGCCAAGAAACACAATTTTCTTCATGCAAAAGCCACACTTTTTTAAGATTACCAAACAATTTCTCACTACTTAATACATTAAGTACATTACGCAAATGATCAAGATGGCCCTCACTTACCAATTTGGGTGTAGGCCAATCCTGGATGGCCATAACTTTCTCCTCATCCATCCCGATACCCTGTGCAGCTACAACATAGCCAAGAAACACAATTTTCTCCATGTAAAAGGCACACTTTTTTAAGATTAGTAAACAATTTCTCACTACTCAATACATTAAGTACATTACGCAAATGATCAAGATGCTTAGTTAAGTTCTTGCTATAGATCAGAATGTCATCAAAATACATAATCACAAACTTACCTATGAATGCACACAACACATCATTCATTAAACGCATAAATGTACTAGGTGCATTTGTAAGTCCAAACAACTTTACTAACCATGGTTAGTCTTAAATGATGTTTTCCACTCATCACCTTCTTTCATCCTAATATGATGGTACCCACTTTTCAAGTCAATTTTAGAGAAAATATAGGATCCATGTAACACATCTAACATGTCATCAAGCCTAAGAATGGGGCGTCTATGCTTTACCGTTATGTTGTTGATGGCTTAGCAATCAACACACATCCTCCATGTTCCATCCTTCTTGGGCACAAGTAGCATGGGTACAGCACACAGGCCCATACTCTTACGAATGTAACCCTTTTCCATCAGCTCATCAACTTGCCTTTGAAGCTCTTTTGTCTCCTCGGGATTGCTTCCATAGGCTAGTCGGTTAGGAATTGAAGCTCTAGGTACGAAATCAATTTGATGCTCTATCCCCCTCAATGGTGGTAATCCGCTAGAAGTATCATCGGGGAACACATCATCAAACTCCTACAATAAAGAAATAGCAACACTAGGCATAATATGATCAAGATCATTAGTATTAAAGTAGGCCTCTTTGTACACAAGTAAAATCATTGGCTTGTTAGTGGAAAATGCAAATATGAGCTCACCCTCTCTAGTATAAAAATTAGGTTGTTTCTTTAGTTTTTCCACGCAATTCTCATCACCCTTCCTGACTTTCTTCACTCCTCTTGTCTTACCTCCACTCTCGGCCAGATTTGGGTGTTTTTAAGTTGTGGTCAAATGGATTGATTTGTTTGGAGTGTTGGCTAAATATTTGTTTGTGTTTGGATGGGTGGTTGAATGGGTTGTAGTGGTTTGGTTTCTAGCCAATCTAATGGTCTTCTCTACCCTTGTTCCTCACCTTGATTTTCTCTCCCCAT